GGTCAGTATCTCCGAACTATCTGCCAGGTTGTACACCCCAGAGGTCAGTATCTCCGACCTATCTGCCAGTTTGTACACCCCAGAGGTCAGTATCTCCGACCTATCTGCCGGGTTGTACACCCCAGAGGTTAGTATCTCCGACCTATCTGCTGGGTTGTACACCCCAGAGGTCAGTATCTCCAACCTAGTATCCATTTGGCTGAGGCATTGTCTAGGTCAGAACCTTTCAAGGTCATGGATATTTACAAATTTTGCCAAAACATGAACCTAATAGTCCATCTGTTTAAACATTTCATTGTGAAGATGGGGAACCTTGTTGTTTCTCTGATTTGAAAAGACTAATTCAATCTCTGACTGAGCATGAGATAAGAGGGGGCTTGGATTCTTAGAGACAATTAGTTCTTGTAGAATGTTTATTCCTGTGCTGGGATTTGAACCTGATCTCCTTCACCATTTGACTACTTGCACATGCAGTCAGAGGAGGAGGCTACACAGATCTTTGCAGTGTAGTATGCCAGGTAAGTGGAGGTCACTTCTGCAATTGTTTCTTGCCAGGTAAGTGGAGGTAACTTCTGCTGTACTTATGTGATTGTTTCTTGCCACTGAAACATTAACCGTTGAGTTTTTTTCTGCCAGTGTAGAAGTACTTTATTGTTTGACTTCCAGCTATTCAGTGTCAGTCAAACATTCTGTTGACGTCTTGTATGTTTCTGTGTGTTGTTGACAGAGATACTTCTCCAGTTTGTATTTTAGCTAAGTCGTTTCTATTTTTGGAAACCATAAATATTGCCCGCTTTTAACCCTCCTATTCCGTTGACCTAAACAAACAAAAAAAAAGCCAAAAATCTGTATTTGTGAAATCCCCCCCAAAATAACTTGGTTTATGGACCAAAACAGTATTTAACTGCATAAAAAATACTGCAAGTAATCAGAAAGACAAAATGGGTAGAAAATTGACTGGGTTAATTCTCACTGCCACCATAAATAAAGGTGAAATTCTGATTTCTTCCAATAACACCATTTCCACATTGAAATACTATATTTTGTAAGCAGCTGTGCTTGTTACCAGTCATTCTAAAAAGTTGCCAAGGAAAAAAACTGAAGCAGTGCTGTTACCAGGACATGCTTCGTTAGCAAGCCATTACATATTTACAAGGCCGTGGCACAAACTGGAAGCACTAGGGGCTCCTTGATGCGAGAGGGTTAATGTAGATTGCAGTGAACTATTGTATATAAAATAAATGCTCCGTAACTGGTTTCTGTATTAGTGTAGATATTTGTTCCATGCAGGCAGGCAGGAAGGGGTTAAACCGCTTGTCAGTTGTAGAATATTGGACAGTAATGGGTTAATTGATTCTGGTCTGTGGACATGTCGCTGTGATTGAGGAATCAACACCAGCCTTATTTGTGTTGCTTGATTGCTTTTGTATCAAATGTTTTTGTTTGATTTCAGTTATGAGAATCTGTTGATTCTGTGAATTATTTTCCCTATGTTACTGTGGCTTTTGTATAAAGTGTGCAACATTTTTAGTTATTGAGGAAATAAAAACTTAAAAAAAAACATTTAGGTTTCAGTTTATTTGCATTGTCTGTTTTTTTGGTGTTGTATTATCACCTGTTGATAGAAATACCACAGCTGTCTCTATTTTAGGTGTTTGTAAATTAGTTCTTGCTGAAAGTGGGGAAGTTAATTGTTGAGTTGACTAGCTATGTCTAGTTTGTAAAAAATACAGCATTGTAATAACCCCCCCCCCCCCCCCCCCCATAATTACAGCCTAAAAGACACATTTTGTGACTCAAAGAACCTCTGTCAGATGTAAATCCAACAGGAATAAATCCCTGCAGTAAACAAAATGACCTGATGTTAACAACACTGATATCAATCAGGTGGCTCATGTTGTGACCTCATCACCTCTATCACTGAGGCTTGCAGGAAATGTTGTTCATCAATGGATTTCAGAAAGCCACTGGGGCCATAAGACCCGTCTCCTACAAATGCTGTTTTCAGTGACTGTATTCACACCCTGGCCTGTTAAACATAAAACAGGTGCACACTGGACTCATGGAATAGAACTACACTTTTTGAGACCAGGTCACTGCAGACATGACTATATATGGGCTTTATGAGACTTCCACAACCAAAAGTAACCAGATTCAGGCTACAGAGTTCTACATTTGGTTTAAATTAGTGGCCTGAGTAAAACACAATTTGTTTCCAAGTATGTATTCCGAGAATTCCCACAAGGTCATGGCCCATGTTTTTCTTCCTAGCGTTATCAAGGAAAAACCGGTTACATGAAAAAATAAGAAGACCGGCCCAGTCATAAAGTTGATTGAAGAACAGTAGAGGAGACAACCTTGCTAGCAACTGCCACATAGAGCCAGGCTGAAGAAATGTAAGGGACATGTTGCAAGGGAAGATCATGCTAAGATGGAATCGAGAAGAACCTTGAAATAAAGACCAACTTATGGCAAAGCATTTAAAAAGACCACACGGAAGATCGCTGTCTTCGCTCCACCCTTCCAGGAAGTAAATGGAGGAAGAGAAGATGAAGAATAGTAAATGAATTTTTTATAATTTATAAATAATAATAATAATAATTAAAAAAAAAAAAGGATTCCATTCTAAGGCTTTAGATTTGTTTTTTGGGTGTAAATGATATCAGACCTGTGAAGTTGTTTGGCGAACCACCAAAATGGAAAGACTGCCTGTGTTTTCTGATACAGATGCTCTTTCATGCTGCGGTGCCAGATAACATTTCTCTTTGTCTCCAACCACAGTTGTGCCATTGTCACATTGACTCAAGTTTTCTCCTCGTGATATGTCGAGAAGTATAATCTTCTTTTGATGCTGATAATCAGCTTTCTTTGTGAATTCGTTTCAAAGACATCTTCATTACAATTTGTGTGTCCCCATCTTGCCCTAACTTTTTTTTCTGTAAACCAAATTTTGAATTGGAATAAGAAATGTTGACTGAATGTGAAACATTGTGATGAGATAAGATAATCAGAAACAAGACCAGGATTTAGCTGAATACACTGACAAGTTATTGGACCTGCAACTGATAACTGAAGCTTCTCTGTTCGGTTGTTATCTCTGTACCGGGTTACAAAAACTAATATCAGTGTTATTGTTGGCTTCTTGTTTTTGATCCGACATTCTGGAGTGTCCACTGTTTGGTTTGATCAAATTTGCTGACAGGTTACTGATGCAGTCCGCACACAATTGTCCCCGATATCTCCCCCACAGATCTCTGCACGTGACAACAGCTGAGGTGACATAGCCCATGTCCAGGTCAACAGATGTCACCATGGAAACACCTCATTATGGATATCGTAAGATCCTGTCTCATGCCTCAAGGGCAGCGGTTCGCAAAATTTTTGAGTTGCAACCACATTTTCTTGAGATAGAGTGACTTGCAACCACATTTTCTTGAGACAGTGACTCGCAACCACATTTTCTTGAGATAGAGTGACTTGCAACTACATTTTCTTGAGACAGAGTGACTTGCAACCACATTTTCTTGAGACAGAGTGACTTGCAACCACATTTTCTTGAGACAGAGTGACTTGCAACCACATTTTCTTGAGACAGAGTGACTTGCAACCATATTTTCTTGAGACAGAGTGACTTGCAACCACATTTTCTTGAGACAGAGTGACTTGCAACCATATTTTCTTGAGACAGAGTGACTTGCAACCATATTTTCTTGAGACAGAGTGACTTGCAACATATTTTCTTGAGACAGAGTGACTTGCAACCACATTTTCTTGAGACAGAGTGACTTGCAACATATTTTCTTGAGACAGAATGACTTGCAACATATTTTCTTGAGACAGAGTGACTTGCAACCACATACATTGAAACAGGCTTTTGAACAGGCTAAACAAAGAGGGATTTTTAAGTAAACATAATTCAAAATAATGTTCATTGACAACATAATTAATGTGTAGAAACATGGACTAACATCAAGGCAACAGTGAAACCTTTATTACATGGTTTTCATTAACAATTAGGAAGAATATCACTGGAGTGGGAACAGAAGAAAAGACTGAAAAAAAAGTATTAATCTTTTTCTTTTACAATTCTTTCGTTTATGATTACTGCGTAAAAAGTGTGACACATGTGACTCAAAGAGTTATTTTCCAGATGTCAATCCAGTAGCAGCAAATATCAGAAACTGATAGTAGAGTTATACTGAGACATCCTAGAGTTGAACAGAAATAAAACATGCCGTCCTATGTGTGGGTTTGTAACAAGTTTCCCTCTCAGAACTGCTGTCTGAAAGATTAACACTGTGATCCAAGGAGCCACTTTTAGGATGTAAGTTAAACAGCAGCAAATCCTAGACACCTTGTTTAACCATACAAAACATGTATACTAGGACATCCAACAGGGCAGATGAATCTAGTCCAATATCTTGTTCGTCATAGTGCAGTGAGCAAGACAGCAGACAAAGCAACAGAAACAAACATGCTACAAAGCCCTCATCTAGTGTTTTTACAACCTACTGCTTTTCTTTGCCAATATTATCAGTCATCTTCATACTTATTCAGTCATGCTGGACTGTCTTCATGTTTTATGGTGGATGGATGAACTCCACACCAAACAACCACAAGGAAGATCACTCCAGTAATTCAGACATACAAAAACCATACAAGAGCTTATGGTCATTCGATCAACTAGTACAGAACAAGAGTCAGCATCAACACATTTAGAAACACCCTGGGTAGACTGGAGCATTTCTGGGTAGACTGGAGCATTTATGGGTAGACTGGAGCATTTATGGGTAGACCCAATGTGCAGTGAAGATAATCTTGAATATTTTAAAAAAGATTTGCTGTAGGGAGATAATTAACAAGAAAGGATATAAACTCAGGACTATGGGGCAGACCAAGAAGGCAATGGAGAGATAATATCCAGACAGACCTACAAACATTATAGCATTGCATAATCAGCACAAACAGATACACTGTACTTAGCTCCAGAACAAAACCCATCACTGTTGGTTACATTCAGTCGGCTGTGAATCAACATTCATATGATTCACGCTCCTGTATTTCCCTGTTCCTCCTGCTCCTTTGATTTTCTTGACCTTCTGGCCCTGACCGTCTGCCTTTAACTCCTCTAAGTTGTGCTCCCCTTGTGAAGATATCACATCCACTTGCGACATCATTCGGACTGACTTCCCCTGCCAGGTGCCAGCAACATCTGACTGCCCAAGGGGAACATTTTCTTTAGAATGTTTGTCAATCCCTTTTATAACCCTATTCTCATCTGACACAGCCTCGTGAGCTGAGAAGTTTTTATGAGGAGGTGTTCTTTCTGGAACATAACCTGAACCTGGGGCGACCACATTTTGCTGCTGCTTGTTGTTCTGCGATGACAGGTGGTGTTCTGGTTCACCGAGAGGGATCTTGATCTTCTCTTTCGAAGGTGGCGCAAAAAGCTCTGGAAAAACACAGAGCCAATAAATGTTGGAACCTTCAAACAGAAACAGAATATTCTTTAAACTCAGGAAATGGTATGCTTTTTAAATTAAATGTTCACCTCCCTGAGTCGTGACGATCACAGGTGATGCTTGACCGAGGCAACAGTGACAACACTAAACTCATGGGTGTCCACACTACTTTCTCAGGGTCTAACAAACCTCTTCTTTTTCTTACTGGCTTCCTCTTGGATCTCTTCCGGTTTTGAGAGAGACATAAGGTTCTACTTATAGCTGCCTCGACTACAGGTGCATTGCACTGCTGCAGAGTTTCTCTGATGTTATCTTTCCATCTAATTCTTGGTTTGCCTCATTCTCTGTGTCACTCTTCTCGTTTGGTATATGTCTTGTATGGTATCGCAAGACATTCTATCTTAGTGGGCAAACCATTTTATCTGCTTTCTTTGTATGCTTCAGTGGTGACTTGTTCTCTTATGACTTCATTCCTGACATTATCAGTCCGGATATTATCTATATTTAGATCTGTTTACTCATGAGGAATGTCTCAGACATCTGACAAGCCTGGCAACAGACAAATATGTTGTTGGAGCACTTTGGTGTGTCCTGACTAGACATAAGGTGTACAAGACACATCACATGTTGAATGACTGCTGCACAGGTGTACAACACACATCACATGTTGACTGACTGCTGCACAGGTGTACAACACACATCACATGTTGATTGACTGCTGCACAGGTGTACAACACACATCACATGTTGACTGACTGCTGCACAGGTGTACAACACACATCACATGTTGACTGACTGCTGCACAGGTGTACAACACACATCACATGTTGACTGACTGCTGCACAGGTGTACAACACACATCACATGTTGACACTGGGGGTGTGTGATGACACACTGGGGGGTGTGTGATGACACACTGGGGATGTGTGATGACACTGGGGGGTGTGTGATGACACTGGGGGATGTGTGATGACACACTGGGGGGTGTGTGATGACACACTGGGGGGTGTGTGATGACACACTGGGCGTGTATGATGACTCACTGGGGGTGTGTGATGACAACACTGGGGGTGTGTGATGACAACACTGGGGGTGTGTGATGACACACTGGGGCGTGTGTGATGACTCACTGGGGGTGAGTGATGACTCACTGGGGGTGTGTTATGACTCACTGGGGGTGTGTGATGACTCACTGGGGGTGTGTGATGACACACTGGGGGGGGGGGGGTGTGATGACTCACTGGGCGTGTGTGATGACTCACTGGGGGGTGTGTGATGACACACTGGGGTGTGTGATGACACACTGGGGTGTGTGACGACACACTGGGGTGTGTGATGACACACTGGGGTGTGCGATGACACACTGGAGGTGTATGATGACACACTGGGGGGGGGGGGGGGGGTGTGATGACACACTGGGTGTGTGTGATGACACACTGGGGGTGTGTGAAGACACACTTGACTTGTGTGATGACTCACTGGGGGTGTGTAATTACAACACTGGGGGTGTGTGATGACACACTGGGGGTGTATAATGACACACTGGGGGGGGGGGGGTGTGATGACACACTGGAGGTGTATGATGACACACTGGGGGGGGGGGGGGGTGATGACACACTGGGGGGGGGGGGGGTGATGACACACTGGGGGGTGTGTGATGACTCACTGGGGGTGTGTGATGACAACACTGGGGGTTATGATGACACACAGGGGTGTATGATGATACACTGGGGTGTGTGATGACACACTGGGGGTGTGGGTGTGATGACACACTGGAGGTGTGTGATGACTCACTGGGGGTGTGTGATGACAACACTGGGGGTGTATGATGACACACAGGGGTGTATGATGATACACTGGGGTGTGTGATGACACAAGGAATGTGTGATGACACACTGGAGGTGTATGATGACACACTGGAGGTGTATGATGAGACACTGGAGGTGTATGATGAGACACTGGAGGTGTATGATGAGACACTGGAGGTGTATGATGAGACACTGGAGGTGTATGATGAGACACTGGAGGTGTATGATGAGACACTGGAGGTGTATGATGACACACTGGAGGTGTATGATGACACACTGGAGGTGTATGATGACACACTGGAGGTGTGTGATGACACACTGGGGGTGTGTGATGACACACTGGGAATGTGTGATGACACAAGGAATGTGCGATGACATACTGGGGGTGTGTGATGACACACTGGGGATGTGTGATGACACACTGGGGGTGTGTGATGACACACTGGGGGTGTGTGATGACACACTGGGGATGTGTGATGACAACATTCATGACGTGGGTATATTACTGCAACTCTCCTAACATGGTGGTATGATGATCACACATACGGTTGCAGTTATGGCATGGTTCGCATGTGTTATGACTCACTGGGGGTGTGTGATGACTCACTGGGGGTGTGTGATGACACACTGGGGGGGGGGGGGGGGTGTGATGACTCACTGGGCGTGTGTGATGACTCACTGGGGGGTGTGTGATGACACACTGGGGTGTGTGATGACACACTGGGGTGTGTGACGACACACTGGGGTGTGTGATGACACACTGGGGTGTGCGATGACACACTGGAGGTGTATGATGACACACTGGGGGGGGGGGGGGTGTGATGACACACTGGGTGTGTGTGATGACACACTGGGGGTGTGTGAAGACACACTTGACTTGTGTGATGACTCACTGGGGGTGTGTAATTACAACACTGGGGGTGTGTGATGACACACTGGGGTGTATAATGACACACTGGGGGGGGGGGGGTGTGATGACACACTGGAGGTGTATGATGACACACTGGGGGGGGGGGGGTGGGTGATGACACACTGGGGGGGGGGGGTGATGACACACTGGGGGGTGTGTGATGACTCACTGGGGGTGTGTGATGACAACACTGGGGGTTATGATGACACACAGGGGTGTATGATGATACACTGGGGTGTGTGATGACACACTGGGGGTGTGGGTGTGATGACACACTGGAGGTGTGTGATGACTCACTGGGGGTGTGTGATGACAACACTGGGGGTGTATGATGACACACAGGGGTGTATGATGATACACTGGGGTGTGTGATGACACAAGGAATGTGTGATGACACACTGGAGGTGTATGATGACACACTGGAGGTGTATGATGAGACACTGGAGGTGTATGATGAGACACTGGAGGTGTATGATGAGACACTGGAGGTGTATGATGAGACACTGGAGGTGTATGATGAGACACTGGAGGTGTATGATGAGACACTGGAGGTGTATGATGACACACTGGAGGTGTATGATGACACACTGGAGGTGTATGATGACACACTGGAGGTGTTTGATGACACACTGGGGGTGTGTGATGACCACACTAGGGGTGTGTGATGACACACTGGGGATGTGTGATGACACACTGGGGGTGTGTGATGACACACTGGGAATGTGTGATGACACAAGGAATGTGCGATGACATACTGGGGGTGTGTGATGACACACTGGGGATGTGTGATGACACACTGGGGGTGTGTGATGACACACTGGGGGTGTGTGATGACACACTGGGGATGTGTGATGACAACATTCATGACGTGGGTATATTACTGCAACTCTCCTAACATGGTGGTATGATGATCACACATACGGTTGCAGTTATGGCATGGTTCGCATGTGTGGCTGAAGCATATTTTTTAGGGTAGAATGACCAACCCCAAGATCAGCCATATCCTTTGTAGCCTCTTATGACATACTTGCTAGACTGCAGTGATGTTTCCCTAATGGGCTGCAGTTGTTGGCACCTTTCTGTCTTTCCAGATGATATTGTTTTTGGGCTGCAGTAACAGTGGCACATTTGACATATATACTGTAACGTACTGATGCAACAGTGGCACATTTAACATATATACTGTAACGTACTGATGCAACAGTGGCACATTTGACATATATACTGTAACGTACTGATGCAACAGTGGCACATTTGACATATATACTGTAACGTACTGATGTAACAGTGGCACATTTGACATATATACTGTAACGCACTGATGTAACAGTGGCACATTTAACATATATACTGTAACGCACTGATGTAACAGTGGCACATTTAACATATATACTGTAACGTACTGATGTAACAGTGGCACATTTAACATATATACTGTAACGTACTGATGTAACAGTGGCACATTTAACATATATACTGTAACGTACTGATGTAACAGTGGCACATTTAACATATATACTGTAACGTACTGATGTAACAGTGGCACATTTAACATATATACTGTAACGTACTGATGCAACAGTGGCACATTTAACATATATACTGTAACGTACTGATGTAACAGTGGCACATTTAACATATATACTGTAACGTACTGATGTAACAGTGGCACATTTAACATATATACTGTAACGTACTGATGTAACAGTGGCACATTTAACATATATACTGTAACGTACTGATGCAACAGTGGCACATTTAACATATATACTGTAACGTACTGATGTAACAGTGGCACATTTAACATATATACTGTAACGTACTGATGCAACAGTGGCACATTTGACATATATACTGTAACGTACTGATGTAACAGTGGCACATTTAACATATATACTGTAACGTACTGATGCAACAGTGGCACATTTAACATATATACTGTAACGTACTGATGTAACAGTGGCACATTTAACATATATACTGTAACGCACTGATGCAACAGTGGCACATTTAACATATATACTGTAACGTACTGATGTAACAGTGGCACATTTAACATATATACTGTAACGTACTGATGTAACAGTGGCACATTTAACATATATACTGTAACGTACTGATGTAACATAGGCACATTTAACATATATACTGTAACGTACTGATGTAACAGTGGCACATTTAACATATATACTGTAACGTACTGATGCAATAGTGGCACATTTAACATATATACTGTAACGTACTGATGCAACAGTGGCACATTTAACATATATACTGTAACGTACTGATGTAACAGTGGCACATTTGACATATATACTGTAACGTACTGATGCAACAGTGGCACATTTGACATATATACTGTAACGTACTGATGTAACAGTGGCACATTTAACATATATACTGTAACGTACTGATGTAACAGTGGCACATTTAACATATATACTGTAACGTACTGATGTAACAGTGGCACATTTGACATATATACTGTAACGTACTGATGCAACAGTGGCACATTTGACATATATACTGTAACGTACTGATGCAACAGTGGCACATTTAACATATATACTGTAACGTACTGATGTAACAGTGGCACATTTAACATATATACTGTAACGTACTGATGCAACAGTGGCACATTTGACATATATACTGTAACGCACTGATGTAACAGTGGCACATTTAACATATATACTGTAACGTACTGATGTAACAGTGGCACATTTAACATATATACTGTAACGTACTGATGCAACAGTGGCACATTTGACATATATACTGTAACGTACTGATGCAACAGTGGCACATTTGACATATATACTGTAACATACTGATGCAACAGTGGCACATTTAACATACAGTCTTACATACTGGAGTAACACAGACACATCAGACATTTAGTGTTACATGCTGAAAGTCTTACAGTGTCTCTCACTTATGAAGCTCATTGTGTGAAACATACCTGGTTCATATTTCCTCTGCATCTCCTGAATAGCCATGGTAAGGTGAGAGTTCATGACCTTCAGTCTGTCACACTCATTGGTCACGGTCATGACCTCATGCTTGAACTCTGTCACCCAGATTTCTGTGCGCAGAGTCTGCAGATGGTTCTGCTGGGCTTCCGCTTTTGCTTCCTCTGCTTCTTTCCTGGATAAAATCATTTGGACATTGCTTATTTGCTGTCACATTACTGGCATTCAGACAAAATATAGATTCTCAAGGTCCCTCAGTCAATTAAAAAACACACAGAGTGTTAACGTATGTAGCAGGAAGCTAGCTGATGGTTTCTGGGAACACCTCTCTGATATTGACAAGAAGACACTTAAACCAATCCCTCTCCTTTATAACAGCTCTGACCAAGGTGGTAAAGATGATATAACTATCACAGCAATAAAATCTTGCTCTGGTGATCATACCACACGCCTTGCTTTGGAAAATCGCGTCATCTACAGTCTAGGTGTTCTTCGTCCAGGTGGCATCAATGTCCAACATACCTTTATCTAAACAGTTTTACTATTATCACATTTTAAATTTAAAATAATTTATGCATATCTTTTAAAATTTCATTTCATTACTTTATTCTATTTCTTATCAGTACCATTTATGGATCATTAACATTTATATTTCTATTACTCTTTTATTCCTACTATTATAGTATATATTAACAATAGCACTTTTTATTTTTTTTGCAACTATTTTTCAAGCCTCCATTTATTTTATTTTGTTGATTCCACATCACATATTTTTTAAAAACAAGTTGCTCACGTAACCCCCATAGTGATTGGAATATGCTCCTCTTTGTAACCGCTGTCTAGCTCATGTTCCAGTATGTGCACATTTTCCTGCTTTCCCATTTCATTAAGCTTTTAAGTCACATTTCACTGGAATTCCAGAGTATTAATACAAGGTGGGGCTCAATAAATAGGCACCATTGACTCAAGGACCTCTTCGCACCACTGACTCATGGACCTCTTTGCACCATGGGCGGGTTCTGCTGTCCGAATATATTGTAAACAAACTCAAGAGAGTATTGCCTGATGCAGGAATGAAGACCATCTGATCAACAAGCTGCCAATGGTGTTCAGGTCAGGATTCTTTCCCACTCCAATGATCAAAGTCAGGGTTCTTTCCCACTCGAATGATCGAAGTCAGGATTTTCCCCACTCGAATGATCAAAGTCAGATTTTCCTCCACTCGAATGATCAAAGTCAGGATTTTTATTTCTATTATGACTGACAAAAGTCAGGATTGTTATTCATATTCTAACCAATCAAAGTGAGGATTTGTATTTCTATTCAGACTGACAAAAGTCTGTCTCTGCCATCAGATCTGTCTGTGAGATGGCCATTTCAACCTCAGTGTAACTTGCTTGCTGCCTACAACCACCTCTCTATCTTCCAGCTCTCTCTCGTTCCAGGGTAGTTTACACAAGAATGCATGTATGATGTTACATTTGAGAGCTCACTGAAACATCCTGATAACCTGGCAAGGATGTTTGTCCTTATGGGACAGTGTTCAGCATGTAACTGACAGAATATGATGGTATTGAACAATAAACTCAGCTGCACATTAAAATATGCTGTATTCTGAAAATATCATCATCAAGTGCCTGGCCAGGCAGTGCAGATGCTCATGTCTCTCCACACATCTCGGTGCCCAGTATTCTGAATCAGTTTCACTGATGATATTCTTCTATGTCATCGCATCGCATCACAGTACACATAATCCAGAGCTTCAGCCAGTCATCATCAACAACATCAAGTGTCTTGCCTGCTGGCATAGGTGTTCATGCATCTCCACAGAAATCAGTCTTTTGTGTTCTGGATCAATTCCACTGATGATATTCTTCCATGCCACTGTCTTAAGCCATCACCATCATTTCTCTTGATCTGCCTCTTCTACCAGGGATCTTTCCAGTTGTCAAGATATTTTATAGTGTTCCTTTCCTCATCACATGACCAAAAAACTTTGTTTGTCTCCTTCTCCTTGTTTTATATCATGTTCTACTTTCATTAGCCATTTCCAGGCAGTCATTGTTTGGGTTGGGCATCTCTGCTTGCTAGTAGAAGACAGCAGATTCCCTAGACCCCTTCCATGTCTTTAGCACACCAGACATAAAGGTTCAAGTCCAGAGGATCAACTTCACTGCATCGGGTTTTATTCCATATGGCTCAGTCTCCCTCCGCAGAATGGATAGCCGCCTGCTGGGAGCATCGCACAAAGCATGAAATCCGTAGCTCCAGAAATGATCCCCAGGAATCTATGTAATGATTGCACTGGTGAACTGAACGACGCAGCCGTGAAAGGAACCCACGACCTTCATAGAGCAAGGCAAATGGCCCGTTTACTTCACCACGGAGACCCCCAGACATACAGTCAAGTGCTAGACCTATATTTGTATTAACCTATTGACCAAGAGGCGGTGGATGAGTGACCTAGTGTCCATCAGGCCAGTCGCTTTTACTTCCCAGGTCATGAACTGATAGCCATTTTAGGGTTGGTCAGTCTGAGAGCCAAGGTCAATTTTGAAAAACAAAAATCCACCAAGATCTGAACCCCAGAGCAAGTGACAATAAAACAAAGCTGCTCCCAGTAGCATCAAGCAATCTGTTTACTTCATAATGCCTATAATAAAATCAGAAATGATCTACTTACGTTTTCTGTGTGATAATTCCTTGCAGAAAGTTAATGAATATTTTATCACTATCAGTAGCACTCTCAGCTACAGAGATCTTGGCTTCCTGCGGTCGGTTGTGCTAAACAAAAATATGTAGTGGTACGGGTGAACACATCAGTCACTGACAACTTGAACAATCATTTCTGCATATTACATCTGAACAATTCTTAAACATCCCAGCTCTCTAGCGTAGCTGACTAAACCGGACTGCGCGGTGACCGGGTGATGAACTCCTTGTGGTCCGGGTTCACTCCCGGGGGTAGGCAGAAAAGCCACATTCTCTCCCAGATTTACGGTACCTATCATGGAATCAAGGCCGAAGGGTTGCGATATCCATAGTACCGCGCCAAAGGGTTAACAACTCATGGCTTTTGGATATAAAAAAACAAAAACATACAGATGTGAATCACGGACAGTTAGTCAACAAGCTTAATATCTCTTGAAAAAATGAAATGTGTTTTTTTGGAAGAATGCTGAAAGTAGTTATGGTAATCCAAGTGAGAATTCTAAATGTTTGACACGAAGCTAAGGCATCAAGAAACCTCACCAACAACAAGCATAAGTGGTGCAGTTTGAGGAACATATAACTGCAGCTCACCGTAAATGGACAACTGCCGCCCACAGGTTAGTGAATGCATTTTACAATCCTTGAAGCACCAAGCCTCAACTTCCATAGTGGGGTGGCTAACGATAAGAACTATTCTCGTGGCTTCGAACAGTAGTATGAGAGTTGCACCGAGGAAGATCTTGGGAAACAGATGTTTGTTATTCACCCCATTTTTCTCTACCAACATTTCACAGGTTGTTGATTAACATTATGTTTCTGTACAGAGGGTAACCTATAAGGGCACTGTCTCACTCTACAGAAATCAAAGTTTATGCTAAACAACCATTTTTCCGCTCACAACAAAATTCCTGGCCTTTTACTCACTGTACAGGTTTTAAGCATTTTTTTAATCCACAAACTGCAACACCTAATTTACCAATCAAATAAATCAACTCAAAGACTTCAACAGTTAATGTACCTATCAAATAAATAAATCCACACTTCAACAGCTAATGCACCTATCAAATAAATAAATCCACAAACAGCAACAGCTAATGTACCTATCAAATAAATAAATCCACAAACAGCAACAGCTAATTTACCTATCAAATAAATAAATCCACAGACTTCAACAGTTAATGTACCTATCAAATAAATAAATCCACACTTCAATAGCTAATGCACCTATCAAATAAATAAATCCACAGACTTCAACAGTTAATGCACCTATCAAATAAATAAATCCACAGACTTCAACAGTTAATGTACCTATCAAATAAATAAATCCACAGACTTCAACAGTTAATGTACCTATCAAATAAATAAATCCACAGACTTCAACAGTTAATGTACCTATCAAATAATCAACAAATAGCAACAGTTAATGCACCTATCAAATACATAAATCCACAAACAGCAACAGCTAATTTACCTATCAAATAAATAAATCCACAAACAGCAACAGCTAATGCACCTATCAAATAAATAAATCCACAGACTTCAACAGTTAATGTACCTATCAAATAATCCACAAACAGCAACAGCTAATTTACCTATCAAATAAATAAATCCACAGACTTCAACAGCTAATGTACCTATCAAATAATCCACAAACAGCAACAGCTAATGTACCTATCAAATAAATAAATCCACAAACAGCAACAGCTAATTTACCTATCAAATAAATAAATCCACAAACAGCAACAGCTAATGTACCTATCAAATAAATAAATCCACAGACTTCAACAGTTAATGTACCTATCAAATAATCCACAAACAGCAACAGCTAATTTACCTATCAAATAAATAAATCCACAGACAAATCAATCAATCAAAGAGAGGACATGAACCTTCAAAGATGGCTGCCGTGTCTGCAGTTGTTCTGTGAGGCTGATGATTGTCCTCTTGCTCTCCATAAGCTGTCCCTGCAGATTCTTGACCACACTATCATCATACCCTTTACTAGAGGTCTGTCGCAGCAGGAGTATCTGAAGCTAGTGGGTGGGGTGAGGAAAGATCATTTAATTTACAGCAACTGTGGTAGGCATTGTAACAACTGGGAAGATTAATGAGAACAGATATTTTAAATCTGTTTTTCAAACTGTCATAATTTGACAGGCAACATGTTCCTATAAGACCTTCAAGACAATCTTTAACCCTTTGACCCCGTTAACAATAAAAAAAAAATGGGTTAGGACGTCGTGGGAATTCTCGTAAGAACAATAATAATTTTAAAAAATAATATTTTATTTACATACATATTTAATTTGTTTAATGAAATATATATAAAGATGTCTAAAAGAAGTAATCAATAAACATGAACAGAATGAAGTATTCAAAAGAATACATTCCCCATATATCTGGTGACTCATGTCGTGACTTTTATCACTGAGGCATACAGGAAAATTTGATGTCAGTTTGGCTTTAAAAAAACACTAATTTGGTCTGAAACATCCTGACCCCATAAGTTTTTGCAGACATAAACACAGCCAATAGCATTATAACTATACGTCTCATACACACGTCAGAAAAGTGACATATATGGGGAACTGGTTCCAATTGGAAGTGTCAATTTTGCAGCTTCTCTAGGCAACAGGGTTGATACATACTGATAGATTTAACATTCCAGTATTATCTGACGAACACAGCCAAGACTACACATGCATGGAGACAAATCCACACAGGACTTTCATTTATTCTCCTTCTGCTGTTGGTTAATTTATCTTCTAAACCTCTCAACAATGTTAAAAAATTGTTTTCAAAGTGTTACTAATTTGCAACACAACTTGTTTCCCATCAGGAGCGTCCAACCACTTATCTTTAATGCTGCATTTATACGTTCTAGCTGCTTGACCCAACATGCATAGAGACACCTCACTAACAACAGACTTAGCATGACGGAGATGCCAAATCTGACAGATTGAACTGTGCTGTCTTAACATCCTACCCCAAACAGGGGAAAATCACAGGTCACTGGACAGCCTACTATTTCAGGGGGTGGTAGATAGGCTGCATGCAGTCATGGGACCTAGGCTGCATGCAGTTGTGGGATGTAGGCTGCACTCTCACTTGGGACATAGGTGGGTAGGGTTAGGACCAGTTCTTGATGTTTTGGGGTCATTAAAGGCATCAGACAGCCAGGAAACCAAGTCTTACCACCCTCTAAAATGTTGGACTGTTCTGCGACGTCATCTGAGGTAGGATATTAAGAAACAACCGATTTAACATTCCAATATTATCTGACGAACTGACCTAAGACCAAACATGTAGAAAGACGAAATCCCCAACCTTTAATCTCTTGTTCTCCTTCTGTTCCTTGGTTAATTTCTCCTCCAACTCCCTCATGACTGATTCCACCTTGACAATTTTCTTTTCAGCTATAATTCGACGATCATCAACCTAGAGAACAGTGAGACAGAAGTTGTACAATGAACACTTTTACATCTTATCTTGTATCTGTCAGGCAAGACAGTTATTATGACAGAACATGAAGCAAAGACGAGTCTTTAGAAGTCATAACTTTTTAAATCCCTACAAGAACACTGGGTTTTCAATAGCCACTAAATAAAAGATAACAGGAGCTGCTAAAATAAGCACATCCATAACTCTCCCCCCCCCCCCCCCCCCCAAATATACCCCAAAAGTTGTACGTTAAAAATACACTGAAATAATCGACTGAAAAATATATATATACCAAAAGCTACTGAAGAAAAAATATACCTATGAAAATATATCCTAAGATGAACTGAGGAACATCTTTAAAATAAGCTTGGTTTTGCATATTCCCTTTTTAGGTAATATTGTAAAGACAAAAAACAATTATAAAGATTAATATGGTCAGTCAGAACTAAGACTATAGATTTTCTTCTGGCTACATGATTTAATGAAACATAAAACACTGTTAAGAAGATAACCTTCAAGATATAGACAGACATACACAGACAAGCACATACACACATATATAGTAATGTTAGAAGCAGTAGATGCAAATCTAACTGCTGCTATTACTACTGACAGAAACAGGGGGAGGGAGGGCGAGAGAGAGGGGAAAAGAGAGAGAGAGGGGAGAGAGAAGGGGGGGGGGGAGAGAGAGAGGGGGAGGAGAGAGAGAGGGGAGGAGAGAGAGGGGAGAGAGAGAGAAAGAGAAAGAGAGAGAGAAAGAGAAAGAGAGAGAGAAAGAGAGAGAGAGAGAGAGAGAGAGAGAGAGAGGAGGGGTTGAGGAAGAAAGAGAACATGGCAGATACAGACACACAACTTTCAAATGCATAAACAGACAATTTGAGTGACTCTTAAATAAAGTATCCATCTTCAACAGACTCACACCCACTTGTGTGCATAAACAGACAGCTCGCCTACAGTAGAACCTCGCTTAACGAGCACCTCTCATAACGAGTAATTCGCATAACGAGCAAAACAAATTGTAAAAAAAATGACTTGCTTAACGAGCGACGTTTCGCATAACGAGTAGCGAGGAGAGGGGAAGTCCTGGATTGTGCGCATGTTACATCAGTCTGTGTTTAGCACTCGTTCCAGTAGCATCATAGTGTCGCTTGTAATCACATTTTCTCAAACTTGTGATATATGTACATAAAACCTCCAGGCCTACAAGATGACCTCCCTGAAGAATTTAAGTTCATCAAGATCTAGTTTCTGCCTCCCAACACCATCCCGTTACTCGAGCCCATGGACCAGCAAGTTATTTCTAACTTTAAAAAGCTCTACACTAAAGCACTCTTCGAGCATTGTTTTAGGTGGCAAGGGACCAATCTCACTCTGAAAGAGTTTTGGAAAAATCACTTCCACATCGTTGCCTGCCTCAAGATGATCAACAAAGCGGGAGAAGAGGTTACCAAGAGAACCCTAACTTCTGCTTGGAAGAAGCTTTGGCCGGAGAGCGTTGTTGATTTGTGACTGAGGGATTTGAGACAGTACCTGTGGAACCTGTAGTCAACGAGATTGTGTCTTTGGCCATTATCATGGGATTTTAGGTGGATAACAGTTAAATTGAAGAGTTTGTGGAAAAGCACAGCCAAGAGCTGACCACCCAAGAGCTTATGGAGCTGCATTGTGTTTCACAGCAAGATGTTTTGGAAATAAGTTTGTCAGAGGAGGAGGAGGTAACAGAAAAGCAACAATCTTCTGGCAAAAAAAGAGAAATGCAGAAAGCATGGCAAACTGTTGAATCTTACATTGAGAAGCATCACCCTAATAAGGAAGTGGCTATGCGAGCTGCAAATTTATTTAATGATAATGCTGTGTCGCATTTTCGCTAAATTTTGGAGCGTCGGCAAAAACAAATGTCTCTGGACATCTTTCTATTTAAAAATATTTAGCTATGTATCATACTCATTTTGATTTTTTTTGTTCCTGCAAATCTAATTTGCATTCCAGGTGGGTTCGTTCCGCATTTGAAGAAAAGATGAAGATGATCACTCACCTTAACAATATGTATATAATTTTCTTTGAATAAACGTTATACATAGTATTTTGTGAGTATTTTTTCGACACGAAACGCATTATCGGATTTTACATTAATTTATATGAGAAAAACTGTTTCGCATAACGAGTGTGATTCTGGAACGAATTATGCTCGTTAAGCGAGGTTCCGCTGTATATATAAACATACTCACTCACACATTAGTAAACAGAACAAACCTGAACATGCACATGTGCACACAGAAAACTCACCTCAGCAAATAAAGAATTTCCTTTCTTGCCAACGTCCACGTGACCAGTTTCTGTCTCCAGCTGTGCCCTCATTTCCAAGTTTTCTTCTCGCAGACGCTACCAGTGACATAATTAACATAATCAAGAAAAGATATCAAACCAAACAAACATCACAACCAGTCAGCTCTACAACAGCACAAACGACAAGTGATCGTTGCGGACGGAGAGCCATTGTCGACACATGGCATAAATCTTTACTACCAGTAGCATGAACAAGAATACACAAAATCATTGACGGTCTTTTACAGAAATCACATTTCAATCAGGCCAGTAGAACACCTGATGAATACAGTCGACAAGTAGCACAAGATTAATTCAGTATAACACCTGATCAAATCACGGCTTTCTAGCAACATGCAGGTTTTAAAGCATTTCTCAGCCGAATGTCATCTAATTTCTTCTAGCTGTCAAGGGGCAACAACCCTGAACCAGCTGGTCCCCAGCTCTTTGTGGACTTGGTCATAACACGTGACATTCTGCAGCAAAGCAAAAATTCTCAGTGGGAGGAGACATCAAGTCTCTCAAACCTTCTTAGTCCCATGCTAAGACAAGCAGGGAAGATGACCATTCGTTCATTCCTATAGGGCCACGGTCACCTACGGACCTCATTATCTTTATGTTCTGGGATAAATATGGTGTTATCTTACTAACATACAGCACAACATAAAGCAATTGGGGACATCTTCGAAGTCGAAGAGCATCTACCTGAGAGACAAGGAACCACAGGTCTGCATACAGATAAGCCAGATCTGTGAAACTGATGTGCACTCAACACTCAGATGCTGCTGCAAGACTGAAGTCCAGAGGTGGGTGGACGAACGCCCAGAACTTTCAACCCGAAGTTTACAGCTGGTGTAAGAAGAAGAGGACTTTAGCAACATCTTACAATTTTAGGGAACAATAGTCATGTCTTACAATTTAAGGAAACATACCCCAGTGATGTCTTACAACTGAAGGCAACATACCCCAGTGATGTCTTACAACTGAAGGCAACATACCCCAGTGATGTCTTACAACTGAAGGCAACATTCCCCAGTGATGTCTTACAACTGAAGGGAACATACCTCAACTGTGCTTACAATTTTAAGGAACATACCTCACTGATGCTACACTGTGTTGTAAACTGGCTCTCCATACACTCGATCTCTTCATCCTTTTCTGCCAACTCTTGCTGTAGTCTGGTTACTTGGTCAGTCTTCTGCTTCAACTCCAAGGCATTCTCATACAGTTTCAACTTCAGGTCACTCTAAAGTTGACAATAATATACAGAAGAAATAAGACAGTTGACAATAATATATGGAAGTTTATTATGATTATGGAAGTTATATTATGATTGATTATTCATATTAATCCAAGATATTAAGAGAATGAAAACAGAAAACTCTTAATAACTATTTAAATAAATTAATGAAACCTACCTTCTCTTCTTCCAAATCTAAAATCTTGAGCTGTAATGCAGCTATTTCTTCATCATTATCTACATCTGATAGAGGGGCGGCTGATGAAGCTGTCTCTACAGCGACTCTGAGCTGTTCTTCAAGTTTCTTTATTGTCTCTTTAGCTTCCCTGTCTGAGGTCAGAGCTTCTTCCAGCATCTCCTGGCATGCTGCCATCTAGTTGGAAGACAGAAGAGCACATATTAGAATATCATCTTCCACTGTTGCCATCAAGTGTAGGGTGGAGGTAGGGGGGTTAAGATGACTATTGTCATTTCATTGTGTTTAACATCATCAGTTCATCATCTTCTTGGGCAGCCTCTGGCTTTCACAACAGCACATCTTAGATGTTGTGCCTGTGATGGAAACTGAAACGATAGTAATGTCTTCTCTTCTTCTTTGGGTTCACCAGTTGTAAACCACTGCGGAAAGTTCTGGTTGTTCATCCACTTCTGGACTTTTAGTCTTGTTCCAGAACCTGAGTATTGCGCGCAGATATGTTCTACAGATCTGACTTATTTGTATGCAGAATGTTGGTTCTTCGCCTCCCAGGCACACAGACTTCGAAGGAAGCCTCTACTTAGTCGACTATAACAAAATATTTGTTGGGGAGTCGGTCGGTCTGTTCTTGTTTTCCCCCACAATCGGGCCCTGGAACACTGTGATAATGTTAATTGAAGCTGCATTCTAAAAAAAACTTATTAAACCATTCAATCTTCTACTTTTTGACAGATCAAAAATTCAAGCTGCAGATAAACAAAATAAATGTAAATATAATTTCTTCGTAAAGATTCCCAAGTTCCGTTTTTGGGAAAAGTTGGGGGGAGGGGGGGGGGGGTCACCGCTGCTCTAAGTAGGTCGTGGTGACTCATTAGGGGTTTGCTGAAAGCCAATGTGCTGGGCTGAAAGGTGCAGATATCGCAGTCTAGCTGTAAACCACAACATCAAGTCCCAACTCCCATTTTAAGTGTGAAATCAGAAGAGCAAGAAGCTAACAAGCAGAAACAAGACCCAGAAAGAACCTCTTAACTCATGCACTGATATCTTAGAATCTACCTAGTCAAAACTCAGTTGCTTTCTGGTCAACAATAATATACTAAATCATTAGCTTTTAGATCTTAAACATATAGAATTAGGTTATACCTCCTGCCGATATTTAGCATCAGTCTTCCCTGTGTCACAGGACTGTGAGTTTTTGTGTAGCTGTGATTTTTCTGAGAGGATGTTGTTCAGTTCTGTGTTGTCATTCTCTAGATGTCTGACATTTGCTGTGAGGATTTCAATGTGTCGGCGGGCAGCGTGTAGCTCCTGTCGATTATTCTGCAACACAAGAATTCTGTTATTAGTACAAGAACAACTCGGTGCCACAAAGCTGGTCTGGTAATCTGGTAATCTTAGTTTCAGCTTCATAGCAAACGAGTTACCCCATAGTTGCTCTGCTCCTGTGCCAACGAAAAAGACACAGAATGTTTATCACAGTTCCTTGTGGAAAGATTGACAGACTGCTGTCTCAGCATATGCACTAGCATACACACGCATTAAAAGCATACTGTAGCCATCCGAAGTGCTAACACAAACAGTCCGACATTAGAAATGCAGTTCTTCATAGATAGTAGCACTAGTGACTAGCAGAAGTCACCAACAGATCAACAGTTGCACACGTGATCAATTTTAATCACATAATGGCAGCACCAATATTGTGACAACCGGCATAGCGCCATTTTTCTGAATCTACAATTCACAGTGTCATTCCCCTCTCAACAAAGATAACAAGGCCAGCTCCAATAGTTAGCGAGTTCATGACAGGCCCCCCTCCCCTCATGGGGCACATGGGTCAAGACTGATCAGCTCCCATTTTCATACTTTGAGATATATGTCATATATTTAGATATATGTCAATATAGGCAGGATTTTTACAGGCTGATCGGCACTTGGTGGGCGACGTGGTCACCAACTTCTAATTATTGAGTGACGTGGTCACTCTCATGCCAGGACAGGTCACTGTACTCATCCAGGCTGGGTTGATCAGGATATTTAAAAAAAAACGCCCTATGGAGATATGAACTTCTGAATACCAGACTGACAAGCAAGCTCAGGACCTTGACCGTCCGTATCCAAAGAAAGAATTAAGTCCTTCAATTTGTGTAGGGCTGATTTTTAGAAATGCCTCCACATTTAAAACATGAAGCGAAAGCAAAAGTTTCGTTGATGAATTTGATAGGAGCTTTTGCCGTCTCTCCTCTCCTCCGACTCTGACAATGGTGATCAGGCTCGAATTTATTGTATTAATTCCAGCTGACTAAAAGAAGCCTTCTTTTCTCTGCAAGTTCTCCTTTGTTAGCTCACATTTCATTGTGCATATCCAGGCAACAAATAACCAGTAGACAGAGAAACTGTGGATGCACAGCAGCAAACAGTAGATGACTACTCAAACAACTAATTCTGGTGTGTGGGGATATTGATCAGGCAGACAGATCGGCTGCTGCCGCTACTCAGGACTGAGTTATGAGATGGATTATCTTCACAGCACTTCAGACACATTCATAGGTGCTCAGATTCCCCTCTCAACATATTCATCAGCATCGCACGGTTAATAGTGCCAGTTCTATCATGGTCGACAAGACTTTGTGTGTGTCCGGTGTGCTTCTTGTGCTTGGCTGTGCCGATCTTTACTCCCAATTCTAGTATTGTGGACACATTGCTTCCAAAATCCTCGTAATGTCCTATCTCTCTAATGGCATTGAAAATGTCTGCATGATCCATGGGCCTGCCATCTTCAATTAATGTGGTACCCGCCAATCTATCAGCTCTTTCATTACCAACAACACCTGCATACCCGGGGTAAATATGAAGGTAACTGCACACACAGGAGAGTTTTGCATTGACTCAAACCACTGTCTGGGTAACCAGCCTGCCTCGACCTGCCGGATCATGCTCAGAGAATCACTCATCACACACACGCGGGAATACTTCTGTGATTCTAGCACATGAAAGCTTGTGTCACTACCATCACCTCCATCGTCATGCTGCTGGTAGTCATGGAGAAGGCACCGCTGGCTTCTTGAACCGTTCTACCCGAAGAGCGAGCTGTAAATGTCCATGCACTCTTATGTCCTCATATAACAGACCTGTCTGTGAAGATCAGCACTTCTGTCTCATCTGACTTGTCACTGATAATACTCTGGACCTACTTCAAGATAAGGTGGATATAGTGATGGCTCTCTGAGATCACGTGGGCAGTGCAGCGGAACAGATGGAGTATCCATACCCTGAAAGATCATTCATGGGGGAGTAGGCAGAGCGTCTGGATGGATTTCAAAGGGCAGCAGAAAGGACAAGCAGACTTTTAATCAGCTCACAACTTGCATCATCAATTTGGAAACTATGGCAGGCTACTGAGGAAGGAGATAAAGCATGTGTGGAAATGCTGAGGTGCAATGGTGTCAATGTATGACTCATCCATACCTCTAATTCCTCAAGAAGCAATACGTCGCTGTGATGAGCTGATGTATCCATCATGATGAACAATACCACCTGCAGAATTAAGGTGGCTTGTCCGTGTCCAGGCTGAAAATAAATAACAACTGGCATGTAACTGAATATTTTCAAAACAGTGTTTTACTTTTACTGTTCTGAAATTTAATAATGACAATATAGATCATATACAGTAAAAATTTATTGTCTGGCACATTTTAAGAGTTCACTAGCATATTAATATTGATTTTTTCGAAATCGAAATAAATATTAGTGAAAATGTGATTGTCTTCAGTGTCAGTTAGTTCTAGTGCTATTCTTCTTATTATTTAGAAACAGCTACAAAATTACAGGCAAACTGAGTGTTATATAAACTTCGTTTTATGTGAAGATACTAATTACTATAGGAAGTCAGTTTTCTTTACCAAATAATGGTGCTCTGTTATGATGCTTCAAAAGATTCTCTGGAACACAATCTAATGTACAGATTGAGTTTATATTTTACTTATACATTACTAAGTGTGTTCAAGTTCCTTTGTGATTCATTTTGGAAATATTTTAACGAGTTTTCCTTGAGTGCCATGGTGGTAAGTGGGAAAATTATTATTTCATTTTACTAACTTCTGTAAACATACCGTCTGTTTATTTACTAATATTTAATTACTAAGGCAATAACCACTATTATTTGTTGTAGCAGTATTATATTATTATTCCCCAACAATCCCTGGCTACTTTGATGTATAATAATAATATGGCACTCCTTTGATCCATTCCCCAAAATGGCGGCATGCCACATTCTGGCCATAAAATATCCAAAATTATCCGAACGACGGTGTTCCCGTATATCTAAAATACGGACTGTCTGCCAAGGGACAAATCGCGGCAAAACTAGGATTACTTGACAATCACTATCAACATTGCACACGGTACTAGTAGCAGACGATAAATACCGACCGTTGACAAAAATTTTGAGCGTTTCTGCGACGACGATACTAGCAGACGATATTAGCGACCGTTGACCAATTTCGAGACATTACAGACGATGAAAACGATTAGCAATACTGTGTTCTTCCGATTGGAGGATTTAGCAGCGGTAGATGTCAGACTTGTTAGCACGCGATTAAAATTAAACTCATTGCCGAGCGTATCTAGGTGCCTGGGACTCATGAGTACAGTAATTGGAGGATGTTGCAGGAGATGCGGTAGCTGCCACTCGTGAGTCCCGGCCATCTAGTTTAGCCCCCATCCGCGCCGCGCGTAGCGGCGCGGGGGATACGCTCGGCGGTGAGGCACACTCGCAGAAGCAGGTCGGCAAGCAACGTATCGCCGAGACCCTGTCAGAGCATTTGTTTCATTATTTGGAGCAGGCACATATATTTTTAATAGAACTGACCCCGCATTTGGATATTTTATGGCCAGAAATTGGCCATTTTAGCTCCTTTTTGAACGCCATCATATTAGAGCCGCCATTTTGGGGAACGATTCAAAGAAGCGCCAATAATATTAATATGTGTATGGTATGCTGCGGGGCAGTTGAATTAGTATGGTCTGTTTTAATGTGTGACACTTGTGAAATTAAAAAAAATGCATTACCACCCCTTTGGCCAATGATGCTAAACCCCCTGGAACTCAAAGAGTTAATATTATATAATAAAAAAAAAATGGCATAACATCACAGGACAATAAATGAGTGAAGGCACAAGTCAGAAGAAGAAGTGAAGAAGTGGCAGTGCAAGGATTGATTCAAATTAAATACAACACCAGAATTACTTCTTCAATAATACTATCAACAGACAAATAAAGCAAATTAACACTTACCAATATATTCTAGATCAGTACACTCTATCATATATGGAAGCCCAGTGAGTAAAATATGTGGGTAAAGGCCTACCAGACGAAGTGAAGTAACCTGAGTTCAAATCCGCAGACAGACCCGCCTCATCTCTCTCTTTCTACAGGTAACAGGGCTGTTGCAAAAGTCATCTCTACGCGAAACGCAATATTTCATATTATATTTGAAAGGCGTTTAATTGAAATAATTTGAATAATATTTAAATATTATATAACTTGATTAAGTCATCTGCGTATTTTAAGATATGCACGTAAAACAGCAGCGTATGTAGAAAATATATTAAAACAATGCTACTTAATAATATTTAAAGGGTATTTGTATACTGTTATTTAAATAAAGCATATACAAAATGAACATCTAGAATTTTTTTTAACGTGGTTGGTCTCCAAAGGCTACAAATAATTTTTAAGGCTGTTGATACGATCGCACAATTTAAGTACAAAATAGAAAATTAACAACGGTAATTTTTAAATAGTTATTTTGGTCTAGTTGCAAATAGGATTGTTTTGTTGACACTAGGTTGTCTCAGTTTTTAAATCGCAGTCATTATCAACTTCCGGCCACCAAAGACTGACAAAATGTAGACGGACAATGAATTTTAATGATTTGATTTTAAACACGTTACATTTACAAGGACTATAAATGCAAGATTATGACTACTGCAGTTCAAGGCGGGATTATGCAAGATGTTGATAAGCAACATCAGTAAGTTGAGCGCAGTAAGTCTATTAGTTATGAATGTTGAAGTTGAGTGTGTCTGGCTACTTTCTCTCAAGGCTGTCCGTCCTGGCGCCAGTTGACTTCTGCTAGAAATCAACGTCTTATTGAACTTTAGCCGTCACGCATTCTTTTTGAAAAGTGTTCGTCTCCAGTGAAATATTAATAATAAGCTTCTAAACTAAATACGATTATAACAGTGATTATGTTACAGTGTAAAAACTTTATGTATGCCTAGTCAGGCGAATTAATGCAAACATTGCAGATAGCCGGCCGGTGGCTTTTTATTTTAGCCGCAAATTTGCATGCAGATTGTAAACAAACTATACCCCAGCTGAGACGGTGTACTTATTACTCATTTAAAATGTGCATTTCGTTTCTATAATGTGTATAATTTTAGTGAGCTGAGTTTTAGTATTGCCCTCTACATTAAAACGATAAAAAAATATCAACATAAAATGTTTGCAGTTAGAAATGTACTCTTTCTCTTATTCCTTTCTCTCTTCTGCCTTTTATCTATAAGTGGAGCATAGACCATCAAAAAGCTCACCCAGAACTCTTTATAGACTTCTTCATGATTAGTGACATTTTGCGGCTAAAGCTTTCTATAGGATGTGAATGGCAGTCTCATTCCTGTCCTCTTTAGCCACCTCTTCCCTTTTTTTTTTTTGTCTACCAAATTCTCAACAGTGACCCTATTTCTACTTGTCACAAGGAATAATTTTCTTTCAAGTTTAACTTGTTTTATCTACAAGGTTGTTGCTGCGATGAACATGAGGCAAAGGAGCGTACATTATCCTGGAATACACACCTGGGAGTCTAATCTAAACAAACAGAAGTAAATGCCTTCTTTTGCCCCTTTTAATTAGTTTAAAAAAGAAAAAAAGAACAGTGTGGTATTGAGAACTGATTTTAAAAGATCACTTATCAAATGATAGGCAATTTATGAGGCATATAAATTGAAGCTAGAGGTTAGAAAAAGAATTCTCACATACTATACAGATAAAGTTTAAACATACAGCCGTGAATCCTGGACAATTTATAAATAATCCTGTATGTTGAAGCCTTGGAAATGTGGTTATACAGAAGAATCCTTAGAATTCCTTGGACAGCTGAGAAGAGCAACCCAGATGTTTTGAAAGAGGCGAGGGTTTGAAGACAACTTATCACAAACATCAGAAAGAGACAGTCATCATATTTTGGTAATGTTATGAGAAGATATAAACTAGAATTTATTGTAACCACTGGAAGGATCTGTAGGAAAAGAAACAGGAAGAAAGACTGAAAAGATTTTTGTCATGGTATGGAGAAGTGTCAGCACACAAACTCATACATGCTGTTAAAGATCGCAGATTGTGGAAATCTAAAATAGGGCCCTGGAACCCACACAAAGAGAACAGACACATGCATTTTTGTTTAAAAATGGAAAAAAAATTAGAGAAACGTCTGGACAACCTCAGATACAAGATAAAGAAGATGGCGATATGTTGGACATATCTTGAGGATGCAGTGGATGAAGAATCACCAAAGAGGTTCTTAAATCTGAAACAAATGCATTGATGATACAAGGAAGTTCAAAAGAAACCCTAAGACAGCTGTTCTCAACCTGTGAGTCGTGACTCTTTTTTTGGGTTTTTTTCACAGGGGTCACCAAAGACCATCGCAAAACACATATTCACTGAAGTTATGAAGTAGCAGCAAAAATGATTGTATGGTTGGGAGTTGCCGTAGCATGAAGAACTGTATTAAAGGGGCCGGACATTAGTAAGGTTGACAACCACTGCCCTAAGATAAACATTAATGAGAGAGGTCAGAGTTGCTGGATCGGATTCCATCCGTAACATTGAAACAATTGCACGAGTTAGAATGGACTGGAGGAATGAACCGTGAACCCTATGGGACATGGAACAATACAACATGATGATGATAGTGATAATGAGGTGAGGTTGGTTGGGAGATGTGCCTTTGGGAAGACTGAGTTATAATTATGAAGTTTGATGCACTCATGTTCTGAAATCCCATGCTGTAATTGTGAAAGACTTCTCTTATCGTGGGCGGATCTTGCTAGTCACACCTGCCATAAGCTTTGAGTCCCATGCCTCCTCATAGCACAATATAACTTTATCATCTGGAAGGATGGAAAGGTGCCAATCAATAAAAGACATGCTCTTAAAGAAAACCATGCTGGAAGGAGAAGAATCGATAAAGCGGCAGACAGCATTGCAATTGGGAAGATACAATTAAAACGTATACATGCTGCATTCTGAGAGAGTATATATCTAGGGTGAAAAACAGAGCATGTTGCAGATCCAATGGGGCAAACTTTCATTGGGGAGATGGCACCTGATTGATGTATAAATAAAAGATCCTCTGCACAGATATAATCACAGCACAATGCACAGAGATAATCACAGCAAAGTGCACAGAGATAATCACAGCACAGTGCACAGAGATAATCTCAGCACAGTGCACAGAG